AATATTATTTTTTTTTTTTTATTTTTTTTTTTAAGCCAAGCTGACTTCGGTTTATCAAGGCCACAAGCCTTTTATGATGGAGATACAGTTATCTGGAATACAGTATTGAATTGTCAGTCTGCATATGTTTGGCCTGTGGCTTTGTGACGTCAACAGCGTAGCAGCTCGGTCAGGAGTGACCCGAAGACCGTCCATTTTTTACTCTCTCATAGCACAGCAGAACAGTTAAGAAAAAACATAAAACCTAGCAAGACTAGCCAAAGCGATGCCAACGCAAAATACGACACCTCAAACATGTCTTAAAACGATAATCTTTCTGATAAAAGGAATATGATAACTACTCTTACTCCCTTGTCTCCTGAAGCCATTGGGGAGCACGGGGGGACTAAGAGATGAGTGCAGCCGTGGGAAGGGGGAAATGTTTGATTGACAGCCCGCTGACACCTTCTCCTCAGTAGTTGCGTGCAGAAGAGTGACCAGGTGAGGGAGGCGGGGTTAGAGGAGGGGTTTAAAGTTGAGAGTCCGCCCCCAGGCTGTTGAGCTCCTCGGGCGAGTGCTTCTCAGCACCTGATGCTGTCTGGCGGAAACCGGCGGAGATTTCGTCGAACGTCCGGCCCTTGGTCTCTGGGACTTTGAAGTAGGTGAAGACGAAGAAGCACAGTAAAAATATAGTGAAGATGATGAACACGTACGGCCCACAGAGCTCCTGTTAAAGCACAGAGAGAATAAAGTTAACCCGGCCAAATACAAATGTGTCTGTTTCCTTGATATAATTCTCACTGGCCTCTTACCTCGACATACTGGAAGCACATGCCCACGATAAAGTTCGCTGTCCAGTTGGAGAATCCTGCAACAGCAAAAGCAGAGGGTCTTGGGCCTTGACTGAACAGTTCAGCCACAATGAACCATGGGATGGGGCCTGGTCCGATCTCAAAGAAGGCCACGAATGCAAAGATTGCTACGATGCTCATGTAGGACATCCAGTCATACTTTTCCTGTTAGAGAGATGGGCAATAAGGCAGTGAGATCAAATATATTGTAAACCTTTGGACCTCAAGGATGACTATTTGAATGATTAGTAACTCTAAACATCAACACCATGGCATTTAAGTAAATATGTAAATATTATTTGCATACCAGCAAGGCAAGAGCGATGGTCATCAGTACAGCAGATCCAGCCATTCCCAGCAGTCCCAAGAGGTGCAAAGACCTGCGGCCCACTCGCTCAACCACAAACAGCTGCGTAACAATAACAAATCATATTAATATGATGCAAAATGCTGATTAATACTTGCTCATTTTGTGATTAATATCATCATTGAATAACTGTCTGATTGAACAATTATCAGAAGAGTTGGTACCGTCTTGCGTTAAAATTTAAATGAATTTATGTAAATAAATTGTGTAAAATAAATAAAATAATAATAATTAAATAAACAATTTAAATAAATTTTATTACATTTTCATTATTGATTTTATATATAAAATATCGGAAATTTGCCATTTGATAAATAGAGTATATATAAATTCATGTAAATTCAATGTATGTCGTTTATTTATTTTAAATATTTACTATTTATATATTAATATCATGCAATATTCATTACTCAGGCACATGAATTTTGAGGGAAATTATGTAAAATAATAACAATACTTAAATATGTATTATTTTACATCTTTATGAATTTTAGTAAATGTAAATTCACTATTCATTCTTTTATTTTATACATATAATTAATAATATATGCTATGTAAATAAATACATTTTATTCTTCTGTTAGGTTCTGTTATGTTCATGCTGATGTCTGATGCATACCGATACTCACCGACACAACAGTGAAAGCTGTGTTGACGACTCCTGCTCCAATAGTGGCGTAAACCGGCTGCTGCACACCTGCCTTCTCAAAGATCTTTGTAGAGTAGTAGAATACCTACACAACAATGTGTTAACACCAGTTAAAAAACAGTAAAGGTACAGGCCCAGGGTTTGTCTTTGTTGTACTCTTAAACGTGTGTGCGTGCAGGTACTCACAGCATTGATTCCAGACAGCTGCTGGGACAGCTGCAGCATGATGGCTATAGCGATGGGCTGTCGGTAGAGCGGAGAGCGGAACAGTTCAGGAATGGTCACTTTCTTCTCTCTCATCATCTGTCTGCTCTCCTCCTTCATCTCCTGCATGTCTGCGCTCACATCTGTCATTCCGCGCAGCTTTTTAAGCACTAAAGGCACATGAAAACATTTGTTTACACTGATGAAAACACTCCTACGCTGGATAAATGGAGATGTTTAGGTGCTGTGGGTCTGTGCTCACCTGCTTTGGCTTTGTTTTCCTCGTTGCGGATGATGAGGAGAAATCGAGGGCTCTCGGGGCAGAAGGGCAGTAAACAGCACTGCAGCAGGGCTGGGATAAAGGTGAAACCAAGGAGGAACGGCCACATGGTGGCATTACCCATGATTGCGTCCATACCAAAGATCTACAATACAATAAACAGCACATAAATATGGAGAAACACCCAAATGGTGACTGAAACTGCAAAAACGTCCTGAGTACATATGTACCTGAGCCATGAGGATGCCAATAACGATGCCCAGCTGATGAAGGGTGCCCAGGGCTCCTCTGAGGGCTGTGGGGGCCACTTCACCCACGTACATGGGCACAAAGCCAGTGGACAGACCAGAGTAAAGGCCCACCACGAACCGCCCAGTAATGAGCATCTCCCAGGACGCCCCCATCTTAGAGAAGCCCATCAGTGCTGCGGCGATGAAAGCCAGGACATTGGCCATGAGCATGGAGTTCCTCCTGAAATGAGAAAAATAGGAAGAGATTTATAATACAATGTTAAAATCATCAGAAACAAGGACTGAATAGTATACAAGGAATTAAATAATGTAAAAGACAGTGCCATAATTAATGTTAAAACAATATCAGTGGTTACAACTGTATTTCACCTTCCAAAGCGGTTGACAAACAGCCCGACAGAGAAGGATCCAATAATGCCACCCACAGAGAAGATGGCCACAGACAGAGACCACAGGGTAGTCATGGTTGTTTTTTGGATGTTATCCTTATATCGATCATTCCATGTCTCATTGTAGAAGGCCTCAATGATCTACAACACAAATACAGTCACTTACTACAAGGGTTGTTACAGTTATTAAAACTGAAACTAAAAATAAGCCAAAAATTGTTCCTTGAAATAAGACAAATGTTTACTGGGGGAAAAAAAATAAAAGAAAAAAAACCTTTATTTTAAAAGTACTTTTTTTTTTTCTCTTTAAAGAAGCTTTTATTTCAGCTTTTTGCCAAGGCAACATTTCTCATATTAATTTAGTTTAATATGATAAATTTGTTTTGCAAAAACTATACAGGACTTACGTAAAAAAAAAAAAGCCCTACTAACAACAAAATTACAAACAGCAAAAGTAAAAAGAAAACGGAAAATATAAAACTAAAAACTGACTCAAAATATGAAAAAAAAACATAACTGCTTATTACGTGACAGACTGCACATAGCAACTTACAGCAAAAACCTGTTCTTTATATATTATTGTTAGAATTCTGACAATGTAGTTAAGCACATTTTTTGCTAATTAAAAAAATCTGAGAGCAAAACATCAAAATTAGAATCATCAAAAATGTGTTTATTCACATACAAAGTATTTTGCTAATTAAAAAGCGTGATTCTTAATCATTATTTTTATATTTTTAAATATCATTTCAATTGTAAATTTTATGCTTCACTTTATTTATTTATTTTACACCAAGACTAATACATCAACAAAATGTAATATCTCCAATCTACTCTGAGTGCTGGAGATTTATGTTGTAATGAGCAATTCTGTCCAGCAGGTGGCTCAGTCTCGTTCAGTATTAGGTAACAAGGTTTTGTGAGGGAAACTGAGACCCATAGAGGGAGTCCGGTTTCTCTGGGATCTCTGTGTCTTTACAACTGTCTGCTGTAGCGTTCAGAGGAATGTCACCCAATAAGATTCAAGCTGCGTTATAAAGGGGAAGAAATGAAGTTTGTTCTGTATGATCTGTTGGCGTATTGAGTTCTCTACACTACTTCCTGCCTCTCCTTTCTCGTCATCAGCTGTCTGACACCTTAGGTATGCAGAAAGCCCTTCAGCACATCAGCATGACAAATATCATGCATGGTTAAAGTCATGTGCCTCAAGGTTTGATCTGTCATTATACAAACCTGTTACACAACACCATGTTGTGTGTTTGTTTTTATAGAATCACTACTAGACACATGCTCATAGGAAGCGATTACTTATCCTAAATGTAATCTTTTTCCATATGCTAATCAAAATAATCTCTTAAAACACAATAGTTTTAGAAACCATGTTTAGTTCAAGTAAATGCTGAACACAGTTGTCCACAGTCCCAATCCACTGCCAGTGTATGAAAAAAGAAAGCCAAATGCGTTTGGAAAAACAATGAGTGTGACAAACATATAACAGTTTTCATTTTGATTAGACCTTTAATGGTTTATTATCCGAATTAACTCCTGCATTGAGGAGTGCAGCAAAGAGCCACCTGGTCAGAAATAATACAGTCCATTCATAGAGGAGTTTCACGCTAGATAGTGCATTATAACACAGTATAGTTTTGCCGATTTGTGAGTGCAGTCTCAGTAAGGGACTGTGGACAACGAGCCCTTGAGGGTGCAGTAATCTTATCGAAGCGATTATTTATAGAGAGGGTCTGCGTCAGACCCACACCCACACACGTTACTCCTATTAAGGCCTCAGCACAGCCCTGTCTCACGTGCTAAACCTATTGTTACAACCATCAGAAACGCAGAGAGTGAAAGCAAACACACCATTCTTTGCCAGAGGCCAGTATGTAGAGTCTAGTGGTATTTAAGTAGTTGAAACACTGTCTATGATAATAAAACTCTGGCCGCTAACAATAGGCAGATAAATGGCAGATGTTAAAATCTCTTAACTCTATTTTGTCTAAATTAATAAAAACATATATATTTATACATACTGTACATACATGCATAAAAACACACAAATCTTTTTCTTTATGGCAGGTATTGACAAGTCAAATTATCCTTTGGTTTGTCTAGACCGGAAGATAAGTGTGAGTATTTACGGAGAATATTGAATCTATACACTCCATATAGTGTTAAAGCCAGAAAAGCTCCATTCACATCGGCATAGCCTGGCCCCTAGTTCAACACGCATGTCTAAACAAGCTGTGCTGTGTGAGAGATGACCTACACCCTGTACCAGAACAGCGAGCATATTTAATGTATATTTGATAGACAGTTAGTTGCTTATTATTTAACAAATGTAAATTGCCTTATAATATGTGAATGAAAGGCAAAACCTCCCCGAGGAGATGTATAGAGTAACTCTGCAGTCCTCCTGGAGTTGGACAGGAGGCATTTGTGTTATGTTGATGTGTGTGTGTGTGTGTCTACTGACAGACAGGGATTTGGAAACAGCTGCAGCAGTACATAATGACTGAGTGAAGGGTCATTTGATAATGTTAAAGTCCAAGGACACAGCTGGGATACTGGGGTGAACAGTGAAGAGTTTGTCACTCAGAGTTTGCGCATGTGTTAGTATGTGCTCGTCACTCACCTTCTGCGGGGCATTGATGACACCCGTGTTGTAGCCGAACTGAAGGGAGCCAATCACAGCCGTCCCGACAGCCAGCATCAGTGGAAAAGTCAGTTGCTGTTGAGGGAAGAATAAAATAGAGTGAGTCATTTTGTGCTACACAATGAATCTCCATCATCTCTCATTGTCCAATAGAGCTCTATTAACCTCAGGACAAAAGTGAAGATTGGCCAGACCAGACCTGACTGCAATAATCAGAACTATTCTCAGAGGTGTGGTGACCTATTGTTTGACATTCTGATAAGTGTCATGGTAGCTGTAGAGCTTGTTTTTATTCTGTCCTTCCTCAAAAATGAAAAACAGCACATCATTTTAGCCAAACTGTGCTAACTGCATACTAGGCTACTGCTCAGACGACAACAGTTGTCTTACAGTTGTTTAAGAGTCTTTTGTCTGAAAGATTAAAAACGAAACACAGCCCAAACATATTTATATTTCTTCTCCAGTATTCAGTATTCTCAAAAGAATTCTATTGTTCAAATATCCAGCATCACCCCCCCTTCCTGGTGGACATTAAAGATTAGTGCTGTGCAAAATGACAAGCATTTCCTTCTCTTTCAATACAATAGAAGTATTCACTCGCACGGATGACTTCCCGACAGGTTTTTTTATTTGTCTGCAGGTTTGGAAGATTTATTTGAATAATTCTCAGGGAAGTGCTCAGAGAATAAATCACTTTCCTCATTCCTACGGGAAAAAACCAAGCTGAAATATATTTGTTTTCAGACTGGCTGGTTTGAAAATGACTGGACAAAATGTGATGAAACATGTCTGCAACACAGAAAACCTTGAAGGTGAAAGGGAACTGAAAGCTCATTAAATCAGTATAGTGTGATAATATTGCAGTATTGCAATGCTACATAGTCAATCCTGATTGAATCATATAATATTATAAGAAAATAATAAGAAAATAATAAAAATACGAGAAAAAACATTTTATGTACCAATAAGATTTTTTTTTACAATTATGATTTTTGATTTAATATTATTTTACATAATTTTTATTAACTTAAGCATATAATTTACTTACTATGAAAACAGAGGAGGATTAATCGTCATGAAAAAAAAAAAGTATTCAGGTACAAAAATAGCCTTTATTTTCTTATTAAAAATATAATTACCTATTTTTAGAGACAAAATTTGACTGGGACATGAGAGGCTTCACATGATTCAACCTCTTACTATATTTGTTTCAACATTATCTACCCAAGTTTGGGTGAAATGCCATCAGAGCGAGGCTGTGCCTCTTGACCTGAAACAAACTGTTTCTGCAAACTACAAAGACTGAACCTGAACTTGTGAAAGACTATGATGCAAGTCTACTGGACTACTTAGGGAAGAATGTCTAGTGGTTTAATCAGCCCCAATAAAGAAAGGGTTTGTGTAAACCCTCCTCTCCTCTGAAGGCATCATTGTCATTGTTTGGGCTCCTGTTATTTCAGAAATCACTGGATTGGATAATTCACACGGAATGGATCTCAAATGGACATTTTCTTCCACATGGTTACCCATCCACAGCTTTAAAACAAAATCATCTAAAGCTTGTTGTTTAGTTTACTGTTTAAAAGCCACTTGACCCATAAGCCAAGCCTTTAACAGCTTTGCAAATATGAATGTCTGATGACAAACTTACGCTCAAATACTGTTGTTGCATCACTGATACATACAGAAGTCATACAGGGCCTCCTTAAAATAAAGTTTACTCAAATTTGCAAGACACAGCATCAACAGGTTCTACACTTTTTGTATTCCTTTTAAGGAAATCAACCTACAAAAATAATTACTTAAGAATTTTAGTGTCTAAATTTTAAGATGGGATCTGTTAAAGTTCTCTGGTTTGTTGATTCATTTTAAAAGCTAAAACAACTCTAAAAAGGAGCTTTAAATGTCAAGCTGTTCTTATTCGAGCTAGCATTCAGCATGCTAGATGAGACTGTAAACAGATCTCCATTCTGAACATCTTTCAGAGCTTGGATTCCTCTTTTATAAACAGACAGTCAGCGATGAGAAAGATACCAGTTTTGGACGTGTGCACTCCTTTCATTTGCACACACATGCGATGCGTATTGCGTACACTCCTCTGCACAAGACGCAAGAGCTTACAGGGGGCGGGAAGTGGACACACCTTCACTTCATGTTGGTGTACAGAGCCTGCAGTTCACGGGGTTCACAACTATGCTGTTTAACCAGCCCTGAAACAGGAAGCCAAATACACACAAACACAAAACCTCTAGGAGGTTTTTAAATATTCATTCTGCAGTTTAAAATAGAAGTCAAAATCACACACAGGAACATGTTAACCAAGCCCGCACAAATGAAAAGGCAACAAACAGTAGCCTCGGCACAGCCGACCTCCCCTTAGTAATTAACTACATCCTTCCTGCTGTTAAATATTAGTTCTGATGGCAAACACAACTCAGAACAGATGCGGGGAAAGGGCCTGTATCTCTTTAAGAAAGATTAAACCTCTAAATATGGAATATTTGACTTATATCTTACTTGAGGGGAGGGTGTAGGTTTGGCTATGAAACATTCCTCTTGAGATTCCTGCCTTTACCCTATATTACTACGCAGACATACCTAGTTACACACTGCATACCTGTAACTACATAAACAGATCAAAAAGATATATAAAGTTGGCCTGGCCCTCTCCATGAAATATATTAATGTGTGTTGTGCTTGGACAGTTTTGTAAAAGTTACATTAATGGTTTAGGTGCAACATATGAAAAGATAATTTTAGCTTCGTCATCCTGAATTCACGCCGCTCACACCATCAACAGTCACACCCTTCTGCTGATAGCACATACTGACAGTTGACTTGGACACATATTTTGGCTCAGTGCTTTCATTGTGTGCAAGTGTATTATATTTAGGTTAGGGGAAAGTTAGGACTTCTTTTTGCTGTTCAAATAATAAGAGTAAAAAGGACTTATTTTAAACGTCACCATTACATAAAGTAATAAAGAAAGAAGAAGATGATTACATGAACAGTAGAGGCAAAATAACTTGGTCACTTCCTGTAGAAAAAATGCAAACACAGTTTTCCTCAACAGGCAATTGGATGCTGGCTCTGTTGTAGCAACCAAACTAGCACGCAAATAAACCTCGCTATTCATTGCAAAGCGCAGAGGCTTTTTTTGGGGGGGGATTTTGGGCCCTCTGAGTTACGTAACAAATTTGAACTGATCTTCGCATTGCTTAAGACATTTAACGCCTTAGATTCTGGACTACAGCTGATGCTGAAGCTGGGTTATTATTGCTTTGATTTATTTATTTATTTTTGTCCTTTACAATGAACTTCACATGAAAAAAACAAGAATAAAAAAATAAGAATAATTTGTTTTATTTTAGCTTAATTTTACCCTCCTCAAAAATGTGTCTATGCACGTCGGTATCTTCAGTCATCCAGGATCAATAGACATCATAAACTAGGTGCAATAACTACTAAACTATAGATTACCAACTTAACAACAGCAACACTACTGGAAGTTCTCTTTCTTTATAGCCTCATTAACCTTAAAAACCAGTGGTGTGAGGATCTGTATCTTTAGTTAAACAAACCAGTGTTAATTTCATTGATGAATAATTTTCATCATCAACATTTTTTTCACTGACGACAACAAGACGATAACGAACTAAAACACTTTTTGAATGACAAAACCTATGACGTAAATCTATTGACATTTTCGTCAACGAATAAAAACGAGACGAAAATGTTAGGGAGGGATGATTTGGGAAGAGATTCATTCAGAACTAATCTTCTGCGTGGTTCGAAGGTTAGATGCGTACATATGAACCAGCGGGACGTAAGCTAACATACACTTGCTGCACGTCGCATAAAACGTTCAAAAATGTCAATATGTGGGAGTAAGAGAAGAGCAGACATATGGATAATGCCCAGTTCAGACTACACGATTTTAGCCCGATTTTGCCACAATTTGCTTGATGTAGGGTGTCGTGGGGATTCGTAAACGACAATGGGCATCGGGACGCAAGATTCCATCGTTTCAGCACGTGTAGTGTGTCATAGTGGATGACAACAGATTCCGCGTCTGCGATGCTTCACGACATCACGACAGAAAGTTTACATTTTTTTTCCATCGTCCACGACGAGTTCTGTCACATTGGTGACGTTGACCAATAGCAGCACAGAAGCTCTTTCATACACAGGTTTCAAACATGGCAAAACGAAAGAGAGATGATGGTGCTGCTAGGTGGAATTATGAGATGGAGGAAAGGTTCGTGGAGTTGTGGCAACAGTGCAACAGTACTCCTGCGTGTATGATGTGTCATCGAGGGACTACCACGACAGAACAAAGAAAGAAAAATGCTGGCGAACTATAGCGGAAGCGCTTCAGCAATGTTTACACTCTTGTTTTCGGAAGTCAGTCGCTAGTTCCGCCTTCTCGATGACATCACGGGAATGGTCGGGAAGCAACGTGTAGTCTGACATGTTTCTTGTCCACGAAATGACAACATTTTAGGAGTCAAAATCGTGTAATCTGACACAGTGACTATCGTGACTGACAACTCAATTCGGTCCGGTTTTCTGAGCGCAGACACTGAAGCATACACACACGGAAAGCGCATCTCAAAGAGCGCGAGTTCTCTTTCGTGTAGCATGAACGGAGAATTACACACAAAATGATGTCGAATTGTCCGTTTTGATGAGTATTCATGTAAACACAGTTGATTACGTCTTAGGTGAATGTAAACAGTAGGGAGAACGTGTATGAGTACATTGCATACATTGCAGCTGTGCATTTGGTTTTAAAGGGATAGCACATAGCAGCCTAATTTAGTTGCTATTGTCCGAGTCGTTGATGTTAATCAAGCAACAAAAGAAAAACAGAAAATCACGCACTGCTCTTGACTGAAAAACTTTAGTAGCCCTAAAGATTAATCTAAATTTGTTTATAAAAATAAATATGTCTGCTTGAAAGAATGAAGAATATGGTAAAGAAGTTGCTATAAAGAATGCATAAATAGCCTATATAACCATTGGTATTTCATTAAAAATAAGACCATGTTCTTGTTCTTTATGAGTAGTGGTTT